TTTTTTTTTTTTTCATTCTTTTTTAAAAAAAAAAAAAAAAATTTTGGAAAAAAAAAAAAAAAAAAGGACGAGCGTGAGGAGTGTCTTTCCTCCTTCGTGTGGGATCCCCTTGGGGGGGATCCGCTGTGGGTGGGGACCCCCAGGGCTCATTTTTGGGGGCTCTGCCATTGGGGGAGCCACAGGGATTTGCAGGATGGGATCTGGAGGCATCCGTGTGTCCGCAGTGTCACCGGGATCTCTCAGTGCGGGCTGTAGGGATGAGGGTCGGGGTCCCGGGGGGTTCGGGGGGTCCCCGCCGAGGCTTCGGCCGCGGGGGGAGCTCCGGGCCCCGCCCCTTCAAACCCCGCCCCCTCCCCACTGGGCCCCCCAGCCCTCTGCGAGACCCCCCCGTCCCTGAGATCTCCCTTCCCCCCCACACCATTTTCCTGTTTTTCCATCCACTCCCGAGAGCTCCGGGGCCTTCCCTTGTCTCCCCCAGGCCGGTGAGAGACCCCCGTGAGCCGCCCTTAACCCCCCTTTCCTGTCTGTGCCCCCGCCTTCTCTCCTGAGAGCTCCCAGGACCACCCCTGGACCTCCAGACCCTGAAACCCCTCATTCCCAACCCCCTGCCTTAATCCTGAGAGCCCATGGGACCCCCCCTGGCCTCCCCAGCCCTATGGGAGACCCCCTAAGCCCCCCACCCCCCTTCTCCCTCTCCCTTTTCTGCCTCAGCTTTGGGAGGGTTGCTGGGGGCTGAGCCAATTCCAGCCCCTGTTTCCTCTTTCCGTTGTGGAAAGAAGGAATCGCTGGATCAGCGGAATTGGGGGCTGTGAAGACCCCTCTTGTGTCCCCCCATCCCAGTGGCTGGGCAGAGTCCCCCCAGCTCTGTGACAATTGGGGGTTCCACTGCTCAGCACCGGTGGGTGCTGGGGGTGTCTGACCATGACTTTGGGGTCTTTAAACTCTCGTTATGGGGGGGGGGGAAGGCCAGGCTCCATTTTGGGGGGCACACGGTGCTCCCCTCCCTGCCCTGTCCCCCCTCCATCTGCTGCAAGGGAGGGTGATGCAGCAAAACCCACCCCCTCTGGGAGGGGACAGTTTGGGGACACCCCAAGCTCCCTGTGCTCACCTACAGTCCCGAGACAATGGGGGGGTGAGGTGGGGGCTCTGGGGGGGTTTGACACCTCTCTGAAGGCTGGGCACATCCCAGGCTGGCCTGAGGGGTGGGGGACTGGGGACATCCCACCCTTGTCAGCCAGTGTCCCCCCCTAACCTGGGGGGGATCCGTGCCAGGCTGGGGAGGGTCATGCCCAGCTGGGAGACCCCCGAGCCCCCTCTCTTCACTCCTGGAGGGTTTAACCCCGGGACTCTTTCTCTTGGGGATCCCCCCAGAGTGCATCTTGGGGGCATCCCAGGGTGTGCAGTGGGATTTTGGCTGGGAAGGGGGTTGGGAGGGGTCTGCAGGTGAGGGTTGAGGTGCCAGTGAGACCCCACCCCGTGCCCCCAGCCCCCCGTGTCCCGTGCTATGAGCGTTCGGCGTGACTTCTCCGCAAGCAGCTGCAAATGAAAATGGAGGATATGTCTTTGTCTGGCCTGGATAACAGCAAACTGGAGGTGAGCTGCCCTGTCTGGGGGTCTGTCTGTCCTCTGGGGTGTCCGTGTGTGCCCCCCTCATCCCTAACAGCCCCCCCCGGGTCCCCAGGCCATCGCACACGAGATCTACACGGAGCTGGTGGAGGATGCCTGCCTGGGGCTGTGCTTCGAGGTGCACCGGGCTGTCAAGTGCGGGTACTTCTTCCTGGATGACACGGACCCCGACAGCATGAAGGACTTTGGTGAGCCCCCCGAGTTCCCCGGGGGTCAGGGTGATGCTGGTGACAGGGACACAGCCAGGCCCCTGCTCTCTGAGGGGATTGGTGCTCCCCACACACAGGGATTTGATGGGGATTAAACACCCCAGTGTCCCCCCCACAGTGACCAGACTGTCCCAGAGGGGTAAATGGGGGGGCACTGAACCCCAAAACGTGGTGCTGGGGCTCGGGGGGGCACAGCTGGGGTGTGGGTGGGAGGTGGCAGAGACCCCCTGGCAGCACTGCCACTCGGGTTTCAGCCCCCCCGAGCCCCGCTGCGGCTGTGGGGAAGGGTCTGGCAGCCCCAGAGACCCCCCAGAGCAGATGGGGGGGGGTCTCAGTGCAGGGGCTGAGCGTGTCCCCCCCCCGCAGAGATCGTGGACCAGCCGGGCGTGGACATCTTCGGGCAGGTGTACAACCAGTGGAAGAACAAGGAGTGCGTGTGCCCCAACTGCAGCCGCAGCATCGCCGCCTCGCGCTTCGCCCCTCACCTGGAGAAGTGCCTGGGCATGGGCCGCAACAGCAGCCGCATCGCCAACCGCAGGTGGGGCTGCCTGCTCCGGGGAAACCGAGGCACCGGGCCCGAGCCTGCCCGCCTCCCCCCGTGGGGGGCTGTGCTTCGGGCTCTGAGGAGCCCGGGATGTGAACTTGTCCTCAGTCCTCGCTTTCCAGCCTGGGGGGGTCCAGCTTGGTTCCCCCTGGAGCTCCTCTTGTTCCTTCCTGTCAGTTTTTCCCTCCTGGGAAAGTGAGCTGGGAACCCCGGGTCCTGTGTCCCCCCACCTTGGGTCCTGTGTCCCCCCTCCTTGGGTCCTGTGTCCCCCCCCTTGGGTCCTGTGTCCCCTCCAGGTGCTGTGTCCCCCACCTTGGGTCCTGTGTCCCCCCTCCTTGGGTCCTGTGTCCCCCCCCTTGGGTCCTGTGTCCCCTCCAGGTGCTGTGTCCCCCACCTTGGGTCCTGTGTCCCCCCTGGGTCCTGTGTCCTTGCCTTGATGGCTGCTGGGGACTCCTGTCTGGATCCCTGTGTGCTGGGATGGATGGGAGGGTACCAGGGGACATGGGATGGAGGACGTGGGGCAGACCCTGGCCATGATCTCCTTCCCCTCCCCGCTAAGGATCGCGAGCAGCAACAACCTGAACAAGTCAGAGAGTGACCAGGAGGACAACGATGACATCAATGACAACGACTGGTCCTATGGCTCAGAGAAGAAAGGTGGGCAGGGGTCCCTGGTGTCCTGAGGGGTGGGGGACATGTCCTGCCTGCCCCATGGCCCCTGAACCCCGGTCCTGGGTGGGTGTGTAGGGGAAGAGCAGCCGTGGGTGGTGGTCCCAGCCCTGGGGAGGCAGCAGTGGCTCTGGGAAGGGGCTGCATGCACTGGAAAAGGTCAAATCTTTCCTTTCTGTCTCTCCCCACAGCAAAGAAGAGGAAATCGGATAAGGTGAGGGGTGCAGGGAGGGGTGGGGGGCGCGGGGAGGACACAGGACACCCCCAACACCCCCGTCTCGTTGCAGAACCCCAACTCGCCCCGCAGGTCCAAGTCCCTGAAACACAAAAATGGTGAGGGGGCGGGGCTGGCACCCCTGGGGTGGGGCTAAAAAATGAGGGAGGGGGCTCCCACCTTTGGGGCGGGGCATCGGTGTGGGGCGGGGCTTGGATGGGCTGGACACCTGTAGGGGTGGGGTATTTGGGGTGGGTGGGGCTTGTGGGGAGGCGGGGCTCTCCCTGGCTGGGGTGGTGGTGGTGGGAGGGGGCCCTGGGGGTCCCAGGCAGGGCCAGGCTGGGGGCAGGACCCCCCCTCACCTTTCCTCCCTGCCAGGCGAGATCGGCGGGAACCCCGATCCCTTCAAGGTGAGCCTGGGATGGGGGGAGATGGCTGCCAGTCCCTGCTCTGCCTCCCCAGGGGCTGCATTGCCCCCCCAGGAGGGTCCCCCCAGCTTCCCCCAGCCCTGAGCCTGCTCTCTGCCCCCCCAGTACAGCAACTCAGCTGGCATCAACTACGAGACGCTGGGCCCCGAGGAGCTGCGGACGCTGCTCACCACGGTGAGGGGATGGGGCAGGGGGGTCCCGGCTGGGCAGGGGGCACCACAGGGGATGGGACCCCTGGGGGTCTCTCCCAGCTGGGCAGGGGGCACCACAGGGGATGGGACCCCCGGGGGTCTCTCCTAGCTGGGCAGGGGGCACCACAGGGGATGGGACCCCCGGGGTGCTCTCCCAGCTGGGCAGGGGGCACCACAGGGGATGGGACCCCCGGGGGTCTCTCCCAGCTGGGCAGGGGGCATCACAGGGGATGGGACCCCAGGGGGTCTCTCCCAGCTGAGCTCCATCCCACTGGGGCTGGTTTCCAGGCTGGGAATGGGGACGTGCAGGGGCAGTGGCTGCTTTGTCTGGGACTCAGCACTGGGAGACTGGAGGACCCCAGGGGTCACTCACCTGTCCCCCCCAAGCTCACCTGTCCCCCCCAAATTCACCTGTCCCCCCCAAACTCACCTGTCCCCCCAAACTCACCTGTCCCCCCCAAACTCACCTGTCTCTTCCCTCCCCAGCAATGCGGGGTCATCTCCGAACACACCAAGAAGATGTGCACCAGGTGAGGGCAGCCTGGCCTGGCCCTGCTCACTCTGGGGGGCTTCCCCAGGGTCCCCAACGTGCCCCCATCCCCATGGGAGGGGGGAAGGCCCATCTCAGTGCCGTGTCTGGTCCCCAGGTCCCTGCGGTGTCCCCAGCACACGGATGAGCAGCGCAGGGCAGTCCGGGTTTACCTCCTCGGGCCCTCCGCGTAAGTGGGTGCAGATCGGGGTCCCGGGGTCCCCAGGGTCCTGTGGGACAGGGACTGGGGGGGCTGCATGGGGTGCTCAGGAGGGGCTGGGGGCAGGGACAGGCTGGGGAGGCCTGGAGGGGATGGGAGCCCAGGGCTGGGGTTGGGATTTGCAGCCCAGCAGGGTGGTGGGGGCTGAGTGGAGCCCCTGGGTGTCCCCCTGGCACTTGGGGGGGCTCTGTCCCCTCTGCCCTCTGTAACACCTGTGCCCAGGTCCCTGCCCGAGGCCGAGGGCGGCGTGGAGAACGACAGCTTCGAGGTGGCCGAGAGCCAGGCCCTGATGAGCCGCCTGCAGTGGGACGGCTCCTCCGACATCTCCCCCTCCGACTCGGCCTCCTCCAAAGCCAGTGAGTGTTCAGGGGCTGGGGGACAAATCCTGTGGCACAGACCCCTCTGAGGGGCAAATCCTAGGGCACAGATCCTTCTGTGGGGGCAAAACTGGGTGTTCTGGCATCGACATCTCCCCCTCCGACTCGGCCTCCTCCAAAGCCAGTGAGTGTTCAGGGGCTGGGGGACAAATCCTGTGGCACAGACCCCTCTGAGGGGCAAATCCTGGGGCACAGATCCCTCTGTGGGGGGCAAAACTGGCTGTTCTGGCACGTCCTCAGTACAAGAGGGGTTGAACAGACCATGCCTCCAAAGCCTGGAGCGCCCTGACCCCCACTTGGGACGGGCAGGAACATTTTGGGGTACATTTTCTTGGGTGTTGACCAGAGTTGGGCATCATCCCCTCTGTTTTGGGGCTCATCTCCTCCCTGACACCCCCATTTCTCCCCTTTCTCCCCTCCCTAGGTACAAACAACTCCGAGTCCCGCAAGACCAAGAAGAAGAAGCCCCACCTGGGGCTGGTGAGCGGCGCCCCGGGGCTCGGCTCCAGCAAGAAGAAGAAGCCCAAGCCCCCCGCCCCCCACACCCCCAGCATCTATGATGACATCAACAACTGAGCCCCGCCGAGCTGGGGAGGGGCAGGACGGACAGAGGGACGGACAGGGGCCAGGACAGCCCCCTGGCACCCCCCGGGCCAGACACAACGTGGGTACCGGAGCACAGAGGACTCGGCTGTGGCTGGAGTGGGGCTGGATTTGGGGAGCCCCTGTTAGTGCCCCCCTTCCTCCCCCCCCCGCCCCGGTGCCTCTATTTATTCTGTGACAGTTTTTGTACGCGGGGCTCCCTTTGGGGTGTCACCCTCAGGGGGGGTACAGGGGTACAGCCCCCCCTTCCCTCCCAGCACCCCCAAAGCCAGCTGTGCCCCCCCACACCTGCTCCTCACTTACCCCAGTGGGGTGGGAGGCACCTGGACACCGTGGGCAGGTCTGGGCCTGGGTCAGGGGGTTGTGAATCCCCCCTGCTGTGGGGTTTTGGGGTGAGCCCCCACTCTGGAGCTGCCCCCCTCCCTGCCCTGGGCTGGCACTCGCCGGTCGGGCTGGCTCAGGAGGGGGGGTCACACTGGAGGGGGCCTTTCCCACTCAGAGGACAAGGGGGCATCCTCTCACCCCCAGATCTGTTCAGCTGTGCCTGCATTCAGCTGTTGGGGGTCTTGAGGGCCTGGCAGTGCCCACACAGGGGGTCACAGGGGGCTGCATGCTGCATCCTTCATGTTTGGGGGTGGGTCTGGGGGTGGGGGGAGCTGCTGTGACCATCCCTGTGCCAAACTGTTTGGGGAGGGGGGACCCCAACCTGCCAGGGACGTCTGGGGGGGAGCTGGGAATGGAGCAGAACTGGGGGGGAAGCCCAGCCCGGCTTCAGCACAGAGCCCCCCACTCTTGGTGTCCCCAGGGCAGCTCGGTGTGCCCTCCACGCGTGCCTGGGGACCTGCTGCTGCAGTTGGGGTTCAGTGGGGACCCCCACAGGCTCTGCTTTTGTTTGGGGGGGCCGGGACCAGCACCCCGCTGTGCGGGCTGGGGGGGACAGGTCCCTCTGGCTGGATCCAGGTCACCCCCTGCCCTGTGATCCCCTCCCTGCAGCTGTTCCCCATCGCAGGGGCTGTGCTGGGGACAGGGTTGGCTCCATCCCCTCCCTTGTCCCCCCCGACCATGGCTGTCTGACCCCCCCATTTTGGCCATATGTCCCCGGGGTGGAGCTGTGTCTGTCCCCACACCCCGTGGCTCCTCTCGCTGGGACTCACTCATTATGGTGCTCTCGACTCTGGATTCACTATTGTTTTCAAACTGCTGCTAAAGGCTGGCCTGGGGGGGTCCTGCAGAGCCCTGGGCACCTCAGAACTGCAGCCCCCCCCCCCCCGCATGGGGACCCCCGTGCGGTCCCTCCTGGTGTGGCTTTGGGGCTGGGCAGGTCTGGCCACCGGAGCATGCCAAGCTGGCCTTCGCGTGCCCCGGGGCCCGAGGACGGGGCTGTGGGCACCCAAAAACACGGGGGACCACCCCAAACTGCCTGGGGGGGCGGGCACGGCGAGCTGGGGCTGGGGGGGGGGAGGCCCCCCCGCAGGGGAAATGAGCCCTTGTGAGGTCTGTGTGTCCCGTGAGTGGGTTGTGGCTGCCCCTGTAAATAAAACTGCATCTTGACTTGGTATCTCTGGCATTAATTACGGCTCGTTAATTAAACAGGGCCTTTACCTCCACCCCCATCCATCTCTCCCCACTCCATTCCCCACGGGTGGGGCCGGATTTGTTTTTATGGCTATGGCCCCCCAGCCATGGGGGGGTAGGAGAGAGCAGCCCCAGAGCAGGAAGGTACCACTGGGGTGACCCGACACCCTTTATTCGCATTAAAAAGTCCTTGGGAAGAAACCGCGGCCCATTCCAGTGCTGTCCCACTGCCCGGAGCTGGGGCTGGGCAGGGGCAGTGCAGTTTCGGGGGGGCACAGCCCCTTTTTGGGGGGTAAAGTCCGCCAGCAAGGCTGGGACCTACGTGCCGAGCTGCCACCGTGCTGGCTCCGGTCCCGGGACGGGGACAGGGACACCGCGGTGCCTCCCCGGCTCCCTCCCGCCTCACCCCGCCTGTCCGTACACCCCGAAGGCCAGGAAGGTGACCAGCACGGTGACACCGATCAGCGACACGGTGGCCGGGGCCGTGAAGAGCTGCCGGTAATTGATGCGGAAATACCAGCCCAGCGCCAGCACCACCATGACCGTGGGCACCATGAGCGTCCCCCCGCCCAGGGGCAGCCCCGGGGCCGCGGGGGCGGCGGGGCCGGGCTCGGGCAGGGCGGGGGCGGCCGCGGTGGCCCCCCGGGAGCGGTGGCAGTGGATGACACAGTTGTCGGTGATGCGGAGCGAGCGCAGCGTCCGCGCCTGGTCCTGCAGCAGCTGCCCGCGGTAGATGAGCTTCGTCTGGCTCTCCTGGCCCGGGAAGTATTTGCTGCGGGAGGACGGGGCGGGTGGGAGGCGGCACAGACGGCGCTCACGGAGCCCCCCGGGGTGGGAACCCCCGCCGTTAAACGGGGAGGGGACAGCGACGGCACTGCCACCGCCGCCTCTTTTGAACTCCGAAGCCCACAGCCCCCGGTATTTTTGGCACAGCGGGAGGGATGAAAGCTGCACACACCCCTCCGTGTCCCCCGAGCCTCACCTCTTGAGGATCCCCACGGTGTCCTCGGGCCGGGCCACCGCCACCTCCTCGGTGTCGTTGAGGAACTTGAGGCGGATCTTGATGAGGCCGGGACACGCGTCCCCAGCCGCGGGGGCACCGGGCTCGGCGGGGTCCCGGGACGAGCTCCGCGCCTCCAGCCGCCGCTCCGGGCCGGGCTCGGGGGGGCTCCCGCTGTCCCCCCGCGCCGCCGCCGCCTCCCCTTCCTCCTCCGCTTTCTCCTCCGCGCTTTCCGGGGTCCCGGGGGGCTCCGGGGCCTCGGCGGCCCCCGCGGACCCGAGGCGGATGACGGCCGCGTCCCCGGTACCCAGGAGCTGGCTGCTGCCGTCCGCCACGTACGTGGACAGCCAGGCCAGCACCAGCGCCAGCGCCAGCACGGCCACCCCGGCCACCAGCGTCACCTCGTCGCCCACCCCCAGGATGAGCGGGGCGGCCGGGGGCTCCATCTCCGCGACCCCCGCCTGGAGCTCGCGGTGCCCGGGGTGACCGAGCCGTGCGGCGGCAGCGGGGACCCCCGGCGCTGCCCCGGTGCCACCTTCGGGCTCAGAACGGACCCCGCGGCTGCTCCCGGGCACCGGGGACCGCAGGGACGGGAGCTGCTGGCTGCGGATTCCGCTCCTCGCTCCCGAGACACCGGACGGGCAGCGCTGCGCTCACCTCACCGGGCCCGGCGGAGGGTCCCGGGGGTCCCGGAGGGTCCCGCAGCCCCTCGGTGCCCAGCGGGGCAGGGTCAGGCCATCCCCGACCTGGACGGAGCAGAGCGATGCGGTCAGCGGAGCCCGGGCACGGCGGGGCGGGAGGAACGGGGGATGTCCCTGCCGGTCCCCGGGGGTCCCGGTGTGTCCCTACCGGTCCCCGTGTATCCCGGGGGTCCCTGCCAGCCCCGGCCATCCCGGGGGGCGCCGCTGTGTCCCTGCCAGCCCCGCGGTCCCGGGGTGTCCCCGGGGGTCCCGGTGCCCCCCCCCCCCCCCCCCCCCCCCCCCCCCCCCCCCCCCCCCGCCGCGAGGGGCGTCATCTCCTGCAGCCTGAGGGGGAAAAAAACCCCGGGGGCCCCCGCCCCCCCCCCCCCCCCACTCACCGCCTCCCGCCGCCGCCGCCCGCGCCGGAAGCGCCACGTCACAGCGCGCGCCGCCAGGGGGCGGGAGGGGGCGGTGCGCGCGCGGGTTACGTCACGGCCGCGCCCAGTGGGTGTGGTCAACGAGAGGGTGGAGCCAGCGGGACGCGCCCCAAATTGGGCGGTGCCGTGAGTGGGCGGAGCTGCGACGGGAGGCGTGGTCCGTTGGGGGCGTGGTCAGGGCCGCAGCGGGGCGGGGCCTCGGGAGCATCGTGGGAACTGCGGGCTGAACCCCCCCCCCGCCAACGGGGCCTGACCGGGACCGGACCCCCCCGGCCGCGCTGTCACCCCCTCATCCGCTGTCCCCACATCCGCCAGGGCCCATCTGTCCCCTCCCTGCCACCTGTGACCCCCCTGTCCCCACAGTCCCCTGTCCCCACAGCAGCTGCCATTGCCCACCCTGGTCCCACAGGGACAAAGCCACCTCTGCCATGTCCTTTATTGACACCAGGGCCATGGAGGGGACACACGGAGGGGACAGCAGTGGGGACACACGGCGTGCCCTCAGGAGATGAGACCCTCGATGGGCAGCTGGAGGTAGCGGCGCAGCGGGGGCGGCAGTGCCAGCCTGGGGATAGCGGCGCGGCAGCGGGCGCCCAGGTGACGCCGGATGGCCACACGCGCCAGGTGCTGCAGCCGCCGCGGCCGCCCCGCCATGCGCACGGCCGAGGCATAGAACTCCTGGTGCTCCTGCCAGGGGGACACGGGGCACGGTGGGCTGGGCTGGGGACACGGGCACAGCCCGGGACCCCCCAGGACACCCCCTTACCTCCCAGATCTCGGGGGGCACGGCCTCCACCCAGCCGTCGGTGGGGGGCACGCGGTCGTAGGCGTTGAGCATCACCTCCAGCGCCGGCGGGTGCTGGCAGCACAGCCTGAGCATCTGCCAGCAGAACCGTGTCACCGAGGCGTGACACCGCCACCGCCCTGTGCCCCCCGTCACCCCCGTGCCCCACACCTTGGGGTGCGGGGGGCGGGCGCCGTGGTCCAGCAGGAGGGCGAGGGTCTCCTCGGGCCGCTGCTGGCGGTACTCGCACACGGCGCGCAGGGCGCAGTCCATGGGGGTGTCCCCGGCGCCGTTGGGGACGGCGGCGTCGGCGCCGTGGCGCAGCAGCAGCCGGGCCAGCTCGGGGTGCCCGTTGGCACAGGCGTTGTGCAGCGGCGTGTGGCCCTTGCGCCCCGCGGCCCCGGGCCGGGCGCCGCCGCCAGCAGCCGCTCGGCCACGCGCAAGAAGCGCTCGGCGTCCTCGGGGCGCTCGGCCGCCGCCGCCGCCGCGTTCAGGGGGGTCTCGCCCTGGTGGGTGCGCCGGGAGGGGTCGGCGCCGTGGTGGAGGTACAGCTCCACGTGGGCCACCAGGCCCTGGCGCGCCGCCACGTGCAGCGCCGTCACCTGCCGGTCGCGGGTGCCCAGGTTCACCTGCGCGCCGTGCGCCAGCAGCAGCTCCGCACACCTGGAGAGGGTGGGAAGGGTGAGGGGACGCTTTGGAGAGACACGGCAGACGTGGGACACGAGAAGGACGTGCCAGGGAGGTGTGGTTCCCGTGGGACACCCCCGGGGACACCCTGGAGAGACCTGTCACCCATGGGACACCCCCAGGGACACCCTGGAGAGGCCTGTCACCCATGGGACACCCCCAGGGACACCCCCGGGGACACCCTGGAGATGCCTGTCACCCATGGGACACCCCCAGGGACACCCCCAGGGACACCCTGGAGAGGCCTGTCACCCATGGGACACCCCCAGGAACACCCTGGAGAGACCTGTCACCCATGGGACACCCCCGGGGACACCCTGGAGAGGCCTGTCACCCATGGGACACCCCCAGGGACCCCCCCCCAGGACACCCCAGATTGCGTGGGTGGGGCAGCAGTGACGATTTCATGGGCGGGGTCTCTCACGCAGGTGAGCCCCACCCTGGCCCCCTCCCCCGCAGGTGAGCCCCTACCTGAGGCTGTGCGGCGCGGTGCAGAGGTGCAGCGGGGCCGAGCCGTCGGCGCTCAGCACGTTGGGGTCCGCGCCGAAGGCCAGGAGCAGGCGGGCGCAGTTGGGGTGGGGGGCGGCCGCGCTGTC